TCTCAATTCGAGACATTTAAATTTTTGTTTTTTTTTATTGTTAATTTTTCGATTTTTCCGTGTTTCGTTTTTATATTTTTCGATTTCTCGAATTTTTAGTTTTTCGATTTTCATTATGATTTTTATTTTTCAGTAACATTTTTGTATTTTTCGATTTTTTAATTTGTACATATTTTAATTTTTTGATTTTCTATCTGTTGAATGTTACAATTTTTGGTTCGATTTTTAATATATCACTTTTTCAGGTTTCAATGTTAAAAATTTTCGATTTTACAGTTTCTTTCTCTGTTGTTACATTTTTTAATTGCCTTTTCGTTAATTTTTCACTTCTTTCAAATAATTATTAGGGTTTTCATTATTCAATTGTACAATTTTTGGCTTTTCCATTACCCAATTTTTCAGTGTTTTGTTTTTTCGATGTTACAATTTTTTAATTTTTCCATGTTTCGTTCTACAATTTCTTAATTTTTTAGTTTTCCGGTTTTCATTTGAAAATTTTTGGATTTTGAAATCCATTTTTTTTTGTATTTCTGATTATTTAATTTATAGAAGTTTTTGTTTTGGTTTTTCCAATTTTTCACTTTCTCGATTTTTAATTAATCAGGGTTTTCTACATTACAATTTTTCGATTTTTCAATTGTTTTTTCAATTTTTGATTCACATTTTTTCGGTTTTTTCAGTTTTTCTTTATTTTTTCAATTCTTCAAATTCGCAATTTTTAAATTTTTTGATTTTTCAATTTTATAATTTTTAGACGTTTTAATTTTACAATCTTCTGATTTTTAAATTTTTCAAAATTTCGGTTTGAATAACTTTGTCCTTTTGTTGAACATTTAAAAAATGAAAAATCGAGAAAATAAAGAATTAAAAATTGAGAATTAAAAAAATTTTATATCGAAAAACTGTAAAATCTTTTTATTGATTTTTTTGTGGATGTCCACGGTAAAAATGAAGGCGAATTCATAAACCACTGGTATAAGCTATACATATATTTATTATTTCCCTGTTATTTAATAAAACTTTCAGAAACTATCAACTCTTGACGTAGAAAATTTTAGTAGCTAGTACCTGCTAGGATAAGACTGATTTTGGCGAATAAGATCTCTCTAAGAAAAAAGGAGGCGGGTGGGCGGGCTTAGTACCTGCTAATCTAAGATCGATTTTGGCAGATCACATACTCTCCGAGAAAATAGAGGGCGGGTGGGCGGGGCTAGTACCTGCTAAAATCTGGTTTATCTTAGCAGCTACTAGCCCCGCCCACCCCCACTTTTCTTAGAGGAAGATTTAACATCTTTCAAGATTTCAAGAAATGTTACAAAAAATTGAACTGAATCGGATTTGGGTTCGTTATCTTCAAAAATCAAGCAAAGCCAACTTAAGACGTATTTGGAAAATCATATATCTAATGTTTCAATTTTTGAAAAAAAAAATTTCACAAAACGCGTTTTTTAAGATGTTACAAGTTTTACGTATGTGTCAAAAAAAAAAATAAAAAAGAGAAAATAGGGTGTGGAAAAAATGCAGGCTTTCTTTGATAAACCACAAGTGCATTCATAATATTTTGAAGCAAAATTTTGAGATGACGTCATCAAGTTTTTGGAGGGGAAAAATAGACAATCTAAATTGTATAATGTCATCATAAATTTTGAATTTTGTTTGTACATGTCCAAAATAAAAATCAAGGCGAGTTCATAGACCGCAGGTGTAGAAATATATTATATTTCTACGTTATTTTATAAAAAAAAATCAGAAACAATCAACTCTGAATGTGGAAAATGTTTAATAAAAAATAAATAAAAAACAATAAGATTCCGAAATAAAATACAGGTGGTCTTTGATAAACCACAAGTTCACTCTTTATATGTTTTTAAGCAAAATTTTGAGATGATTTAGTCCAAATTTTTGAAAACGATAAACAAATAATCTAAATTGTATAATGTCATCATAAGTTCTGATTTTTGTTTGTACATGTCCAAAGTAAAAATCAAGGCGAGTTCATAAACCACAGGTATATAAATAAGCATACATTTATTTCCGCACCCGTGCCGACCAATCACAACAAAGTACATCGGCGCTAAATTCAAACTGGCCCAAAGTCGAATATTATTGCTTTCATCTGTGTGGCCTGAGGATTTTTTTTAATTCGCGTCGATTTTTGAAGTTTTTAAGTTTCTTAGCTTTTCGATTTTAGGATTTCTCAGTTTTTCGATTTTTATTTCGTCGGTTTTTTCAGGTTTCAATGTTACAATTTTTAGACTTGACAGTTTCTCGTTTTTTCGATTTTTCCATTTTAAGATATTTTTATTTTTGATTTTTCAATTGTTGATTTTTTCGTTATCCGATTTTTTAATTTCGCTATTTTTTCAACATTTCGGTATTTCAATTTTTTTTATTGTTCAATGTTTCGTTTTTTTTCAATTTTTCAGTTTTCGATTTGTTAATTTTACAGTTTTTCGATCTTTATTTTGACATTTTTGGGTTTTTCAATTTAAATTTTTTGTATTTTTCGATTTTTCAGGATCCAGATATTTTAATTTTTCGATTCAACTTTTGAATTTTACAATTTTTCGATTTTTCTATTTCTAGAAAATTTTGTTTTCCGTATTTTTCTATTTCTGGACTTTTTATTAATCAGTTATTCGATTTTAGTTTTTTTTTCAATTTTTCAAATTTTCAGTTGTTTTTTCAATTATCGAAGTTTTCAGTTTCTCAAGTTTTAAGATTACAATTTTTAAATTTCTCGGTTTTCAAGTTTCGTTTTTTCTATTTTTGATTTTCAATTTTTTTGTTTTACAATTTTTAGATGTTTTATTGTTAAAAGTTTCCGATTTTTTGATTTTTTAAAATCTCACTTCTAATAAGTTTGTCCATTGTCCTTTTGTTGAAAAATTAAAAAACGAAAAATTGAGAAAATGAAAAATTAAAAATAAAGCACTCGAATTTTTAGCTTTTAATTTTCATTATGATTTTTATTTTTCAGTAACATTTTTGTATTTTTCGATTTTTTTATTTGTAGATATTTTAATTTTTTGATTTTCTATCTGTTGAATGTTACAACTTTTGTTTTTTCGATTTTTTCAATTCATCGATTTTTAATTTATCACTTTTTCAGGTTCCAATGTTACAAATTTTCGATTTTACAGTTTCTATCTTTTCCTCTGTTGTTACATTTTTTTAATTGCTTCTTCGTTACCCAATTTTCAGTTTGCCAATTTTTTCAATTTTTCGATATTTCAAGTTTGGTTTTTCAATTTTGATTTTCAATTTTTCTTTTCTTCAATTTTTCCAGGTCGTGATTTTTTCATTTTTTTTTTTCAAATTTACAGTTTTGTAATCGTTTCATTTTTAAATTTGCCAATTTTTAATTTTTCAGTTCTTTCAAATAATTATTAAGGTTTTTATTATTCAATTGTACAATTCCTGGCTTTTCGATTATCTGATTTTTCAGTGTTTTTTTTGGATGTTCCAATTTTTTAATTTTCCATGTTTGGTTTTACAATTTCTTAATTTTTAGTTTTCCGGTTTTCATTTTAAAATTTTTGGATTTTAAAATTATTTTTTTTTGTATTTTCGATTTTTTAATTTATAGAAGTTTTTGTTTTTCGTTTTTCAAATTTTTCACTTTCTCGATTTTTAATTAATCAGGGTTTACAGATTTCTATATTACAATTTTTGTTTTTTCAATTTTAAAATTTTTCGACATATCAAGTTTCATTTTTCAATTTTCGATTCTCATTTTTTCGGTTTTTTTCAGTTTTTCTTTATTTTTTCAATTCTTCAACTTCTCAATTTTTAAATTTTCTGATTTTAAAATTTTTCAAAATTTCGGTTTGAATAAATTTGTCCTTTTGTTGAGCAATTAAAAATGGAAAATCGAGAATTTGAAAAATTTTATATCAAAAAATTGCAGAATTGTTTCGTTTTGTTCGATTTTGCAAAATATCATTTTGATTAAAATTGAAAAATTGCAAAATTGTTTCGTTTTTCGATTTTTTCGATTACCCGATTTTGCAGTTTTATTTTTAATTGTTCCATGTTTTTACAATTTTTCGGGGTCTGGATTTTTTACTTTTTCGATTTTCACGGGTTTTTCGTTTTAAAATTTTTGTATTCTTAGTTGTTTCAATGACACAATTTTCCGATTTTCCAATATTTTAGTTTCGATAAATTTGTTCTTTTGCTGAAAAATAAAAAAACACGAAATTGAAAAATTAAAAAACTAAAAGTTTTAAAGTCCAAAAAATTGTAAAATCGGAGAACTACAGGTGGTCTTTGATAAACCACAAGTTAACTACTCTTGATATTTTTTTAAGCAAAATTTTGAGATGATATCATCCAAGTCTTTGAAAACGATAAACAAACAATCTAAATTGTATAATGTCATCATAAATTGTGATTTTTTTTGTACATGTCCAAAGTAAAAATCAAGGCGAGTTCATAAACCACAGGTATAGAAATAAGGGAGTAAAAAATAAAAATAAAAAAGTGAAAAATATGACGATAAAAAAGTTGACAAAAATGACAAACATCTAGATATTCTATAAAATATTGAAACCAATAGTGACATAAAAAAGCATTCCCACCACAAAAGTATCACCTCAAAAAACATATTTATGTTATACCATATGATCAAAAAAGAAATTCCTCTAGTTTGCCATGAAATTTGTTTTTAAATAATGATTCAACTATTTGACAGTTATTTGACCGTAACTGTCAAATTGACTGAGAAACGTGCTAGTGTTACCAACATTTATTTAAAAATAAATTTTATGACCCACTAGGGATTTTTGTTTCAATCATATATTAGTATTATTTATTTTATAAAAATGATTTCCAAAGCCAACCGTATGACGTGTTTCAAGAAAAAAATCTTTAGATTAGCGAATCTCAATACACCGAAAACCCATTACCCACCACAAAAATCACCGATTACCATTTACCAAGAAGACGTACTCAACCAACAACCGTTATCGAACAAAAAACCATCCGAGAAGTCAAGAACCGCACCTGAGTCACTGTCCATTAACCCGTCTTCAGAATCGCAATGGACGCAAAGCAGTTCCTATTAATCGCGATCTGGTTCCTCCGCAGTGCCCAACTCGAAAAAGTGACCTTCGAAAATGTGACCCTCTGGACGTCGCCCACCGAAAAATTCGCGACCATACCATCCGGCCGCCACCTCAAAAACCACCTGCCGAAAACCTTCGCCCCTTCGATCATCCTCACGGGAAAAATCCCCGTTCTTCGCAAAAACTCGGTGACGGACATCGACAGCGTGCAAGAACTGTTCTTCCAGGAAAACGGAATCGAGGACGTAGAGAGCGGCGCTTTCGGGAATCTAGCAAGCGTGGTGACTCTGGTGGTGAATCGGAGCAACTTGACGGTCATCGAACGAGGCGTTTTCCGAGATTTGCGGAAAGTCGAGCAGCTGCAAGTGAGTTTTAACCGGATTGCTACGATAAAGGAAGGAGCTTTCGAGGATTTGCCTAGTTTGAAAAGACTGATTTTGTGGCACAACGAGCTGAAAACCCTCCAAGAAAATATTTTCGACGACGTTACAACTCTGGAAGTTGTGGATTTGTCCGAAAACGAAATTTCCGTTCTTCCGAAAAACGTTTTCAAGAACTTGCCGAACTTGAAGATGATTCTATTGAGACGAAACAAAATCGACGAAATTCCAACTCAAGCTTTGGAGCATCTTCCAATTTACTACTTAGATTTGTCGGGGAATTCGATTTCGACGCTTCCTGAGGGTTTTTTTGAAACTTTACCCAAACTGACTGGGATTATCTTATCTGGGAATCGACTCACGTCTATCCAACGTGGAATCTTCAACGAAAAAAATCTTCAAGACGTGGAACTCGCTTACAACGAAATTTCTCACATCGAATCGCAAGCTTTCGACGACATGCCGAATCTGTATACGATCGTGTTATCAAATAATAAACTCACCAGATACGACGTTACATGGTTTCGTAACACTCCCAATATTCACAGACTGTTCTTATCCAATAATAAAATCGGCGAAATTCCTGATGAAGCATTTCGAAACGTTTACTCCGACAAAAACGTGTGGATAAAATTGGATGGTAACGGTATTAGTAAAATTTCTGCGAAGACCTTCCAAGGGGTGAAGAAATGGGATTATTTGAACCTCTCCAACAACGACCTAGAGGCATGGGATGGTGATTTTCTAGCGGATAGTGAAATTATTCACTATTTGAATCTCATAAACAATAAGATAAAGTGTCCTGGAGGAAATTTAGACGACACTTTTAAAGCAGATTTCACACTTTTGAGTAACAATTCACTGAGTGAAAAGTGTGTTAAAAGAATAGAAAATTGGTTAGTTGATCATAGGAATAAAGTCGTTGTGTATTAGTGGCTGTTCTTATTTTTTCTATAAGTTGAAGATTTTTATGCTTAGTGTGATCTGTAAAATTTTTACTAATCTTGTTGGTGCTTCCACAAAAAATTGTAAATGCTCATGTGAGAATTACTGACTATTTGGCTGTGCTGTTCGAGTTTTTAATTATTTTTTATTTCAGAGGTTCGGCGAGATTATCTGTCTAGTAAACGTAAAACGCGCATTTTTGTATTCCACCGACTGCGAAATGCCAACAAAATGTGAAATACTAAATCAAGAAACAAAGAGAAAAATTATGACTTAATTAGATTTATTTTATATTTAAGTACATACAAAATAAAAAATATAATATTTTAATGACCAATTTTTTTTGATATTTTAGTGTGAAAAGATTCATAATATTTTGCACATTTTGATAGGACTAAGCAAAATTTTTGGACGAGGTCATCAATTTTCGTAAAAAAAATAAAATAAAAGTTTTAATTTTTTTCTGGATGTTCAAGGTAAAAATCGAAGCGAATTCATAAATCACAAATATGTTATTTTATAAAATTTAAATAAGATTTACGTTGCAAAATTTTGAGGTTACGTAATCAAATCGTAACAAAAAAGCCGACGATGTAAAGACAATACAAAAAGAGCGCAAAAAATGCGACAAAATACGACAGGAAAAATTATCACAAAAAAAAACGAAAAAAAAAATGCGAAAAAAGTGTCATAATTTTAAGATACATTTTAAGTGGAAGAAAAATATGCATCAAAAAGAAAAACGACTAAAATAAAGAAGTAAAAATGGCGACAAAAAAAAAAGCAAAAAAGACCACAAAAAATCTGAGACAAAAGAAAAAATTAATATTTTTGGAAAATTTTTAAAAATTTTGAATTCACTTTTAGTATTTGTTGGAACAGTTATCGTGATATGGAATTCAGACTTGTAACTGCTCGAAGATTGTCTACAATTTGACACCAATTTTCGGTCGATTGGACCAATTTTAATCATTTTTTTGGAAAATTTTTGAAAATTTTGGAATCAAATTTTACCTTTATTTCAATAGATGTCGTGAAGGTGACTTTAGATTTGTCACTGACGAAGTTCATCTACAATTTGATACCTTTTTTCGGTCGATTGAACAAGTTTTAGCTATTTTTTGAAAAATTTTTGAAAATTTTGAATTAAGTTTTCGTGTTTATTGGAACAGAAATCGTAACGGCGACTTCAGATTGATAACTGGCGAAGATTATCTACAATTTGACAATTTTCAGTCGATGGAACCCATGTTACCCATTTTTTCGAAAAATTTTTGAAAATTTTGAACTTACTTTTCACGTTTATTTGGATTCGTAATTGAGCGAAGATTATCTACATTTTGGCACGAATTTTCAGTCCATTTTAATAATTTTTTTTTTTAATTTTTGATAATTTTGAACTCATTTTTCAGGTTTATTTGACTTGATATCGTGATGGCGATTACGGATTCGTAATTAGTGAAAGATTATCCACAATTTGACATCAATTTTCGGTTGATTGAACCCATTTTAACCATTTTTTTTGGAAAATTTTTGAAAATTTTGAATTAATTTTCCATGTTTATTTGACAAGAAATCGTGACGGATATTTGGGATTCGTAATTGGCGAAAGATTATCTACAGTTTGAACACAAATTTTCAGACGATTGAACCCATTTTAACCATTTTTTCGGAAATTTTTGAATATTTTGAACTCACTTTTCAGGTTTATTTGACTTGATGTCGTGATGGCGATTTAAGATTCGTAATAGGCCGAGGATTATCTACAATTCGACACCAATTTTCAGTCGATTGAACCTATTTTAACCATTTTTTTTTGGATTTTTTTTTCAAATTTTGAACTCACTTTTCACGTTTATTTGACTTGAAATCGTGACGGCGATTTAGGATTCGTAATTGGCCGAAGATTATCTACAATTTGACATCAATTTCCAGTCAATTGAACTAATGTTAACCATTTTTTTTTGAAATTTTTTGAAAATTTTGAACTCACATTACATGTTTATTTAAATAGATGTGATGCCGATTTCGGATTCGTACTTGACAGAAGATTATCTTATCTATAATTTGACACAAATCTTCAGTCGATTGAATCCATTGTAACCATTTTTTTGGAAATTTTTGAAAATTTTGAACTCAGTTTTCATGTTTGATTTGATATTGTGACGACGATATAGGATTCGTAATTGGCCGAAGATTACCTACAATTTGACACCAATTTAAAGCAGATTGAACAAATTTTAACCATTTTTTTGGAATTTTTTTGAAAATTTTGAGCCTACATTACATGTTTATTTAAATAGATGTCGTGATGCCGATTTCGGATTCGTAATTGGCGGAAGATTATCTATAATTTGACACTAATCTTCAGTCGATTGAACCCATTTTAACCATTTTTTTTGAAATTTTTGAAAATTTTGAACTCATTTTTCATGTTTGATTTGATGTCGTGACGGCGATTTAAGATTCGTAATAGGCCGAGGATTATCAACAATTCGACACCAATTTTCAGTCGATTGAACCCATTTTAACATTTTTTTTGGAAATTTTTGAAAATTTTTAACTCACTTTTCACGTCTATTTGACTTGATGTCGTAACGGCAATTTAGGATTAGTAACTTGCCGAAGATTATTTACAATTTGATACCAATTTTCAGTCGATTGAACCCATTTTAACCATTTTTTTTTTGTAAATTTTTGAAAATTTTGAATTCACTTTTCACGTTTATTTGACTTGATATTGTGACGGTGATTACGGATTCGTAATTGGTGGAAGAGTATCTACAATTTGATACCAACTTTCAGTCGATTGAAACCATTTCAACCACTTTTTGGAAAATTTTTAAAAAATTTTGAAATCACTTTTCATGTTTATTTGACCTGATATTGTGACGGCGATGTAGGATTCGTAATTGGCGGAAGATTATCTACAATTTGACACCAATTTCGATTCGATTGAAATAATTTTAATCATTTTTTTGGAAATTTTTTGAAAATTTTGAGCTCACATTGCATGTTTATTTAAATAGATGTGATGACGATTTCGGTTTCGTAATTGGCAGAAGATTATCTTATCTATAATTTGACACAAATCCTCAGTCGATTTAACACATTTTAACCATTTTTTTGGAAATTTTTGAAAACTTTGAACTCACTTTTCATGTTTATTTGACCTGATATTGTGACGACGATATAGGATTCGTAATTGGCCGAAGATTACCTACAATTTGACACCAATTTAAAGCAGATTGAACTAATTTTAACCATTTTTTTGGAATTTTTTTGAAAATTTTGAGCCTACATTACATGTTTATTTAAATAGATGTCGTGATGCCGATTTCGGATTCGTAATTGGCGGAAGATTATCTATAATTTGACACGAAACTTCCGTCAATTGAACCCATTTTAACCACTTTTTTTTTAATTTTTGAAAATTTTGAGCTCACTTTTCACGTTTATTTGACTTGATATCGTGACGGGGATTTGGGATTCGTAATTGGCCGAAGATTATCCACAATTTGACACCAACTTTCAGTCGATTGTAGTCATTTTAACCATTTTTTGGAAAATTTTTGAAAATTTTTAATTAATTTTTCATGTTTATTTGACAAGAAATCGTGACGGATAATTCGGATTGGTAATTGCCGAAAGATTATCTACAATTTGACACACTCATTTTAGCCACTTTTTTGGAAATTTTGTATCCAATTTTCGTGTTTATTGGAACAGATATCGCGACGGCGATTTTAGATTCGTAACTAGCGGAAGATTATCAACAATTTGACACAATTTTTCGGTCCATTGAACCAATTTTAACCATTTATTGGAAAATTTTTGAAAAACCCACTTTAAGCATTTTTTTGAAAATTTTTTAAAATTTTGAACTCACTTTTCATGTTTATTTGACTTGCTATCGTGAAGGCGATTTGAGATTCGTAAGTGGTCGAAGATTATCTACAATTTGACATAAATTTTCGGTCAATTGAACCCATTTTAATAATTTTTTTGGAAATTTTTGGAAAAGTTTGAACTCATTTTTCACGTTTATATGACTTGCTATCGTGACGGCGATTTTGGATTCGTAATTGCCCGAAGATTATCTACATTTTGACACCAATTTTCAATCGATTTTAACTTTTTTTTGGAAATTTTTGAAATTTTGAACTCATTTTTCACGTTTATTTGACTTGATGTCGTGGCGGCGATTACGGATTCGTAATTAGTGGAAGATTATTCACAATTTGACACCAACTTTCAGTCGATTGTGGCCATTTTAACCATTTTTTGAAAAATTTTTGAAAATTTTGAATTAATTTTTCATGTTTATTTGAACAAGAAATCGTGAAGGAAAAATCGGATTCGTAATTGCCGAAAGATTATCTACAATTTGGCACAAATCTTCAGACGATTGAACCCATTTTAACCATATTTTTGGAAATTTTTGAAAATTTTGAACACATCTTTTATGTTAATTGGAACAGAAATCGTAACGGCGACTTCAGATTTATAACTGGCGCAAGATTATCCACAATTTGACACCATTTTTCGGTCCATTGAACCAATTTTAACCAGTTTTTTGGAAATTTTTGAAAATTTTGAACTCAATTTTCATGTTTATTTGACTTGATGTCGTGACGGCGATTACGGAATCGTAATTAGTGAAAGATTATCCACAATTTGACATCAATTTTCAGTTGATTGAACCCATTTTAACAATTTTTTTTGGAAAATTTTTGAAAATTTTGAACTCACTTTTCACGTTTATTTGACTTGATATTGTGACGGCGATTACGGATTCGTAATTGGTGGAAGATTATCTATAATTTGAGACCAATTTCCAGTCGATTGAGCTAATTTTAACCTTTTTTTGGAAATTTTTGGAAAATTTTGAGCTCACATTGCATGTTTATTCAAATAGATGTGATGCCAATTTGGGATTCGTAATTGGCGGAAGATTATCTATAATTTGGCACAAATCTTGAGTGGATTGAACCCATTTTAACCATTTTTTTGAAAAATTTTTGAAAATTTTGAACTCACTTTTCACGTGTATTTGACTTGATATCGTGACGGCGATTTAGGATTCGTAATTGGCCGAAGATTATCTATAATTTGACACCAATTTTCAGTCGATTGAACCTATTCTAACAATTTTTTTAGAAAATTTTTCAAAATTTGGAGCTCGGTTTTCGTGTTTATTTAACATGATGTCGTGACGTATATTTTGGATTCGTAATTTGCGGAAGATTATCTACAATTTGACACCAATTTTCAGTCGATTGAGGCCATTTTAACCATTTTTTTGGAAATTGTTTGAAAATTTTAAACTCACTTTTCAGGTTTATTTGACTTCATATCGGGATGGCGATCTAGGATTCAAAATTGGCCGAAGATTTTCTACAATTTGACTGAACCCATTTTAACTTTTTTTTTGAAAAATTATTGAAAAGCTGGAACTCGCTTTTCATTTTTATCTGACTTAATATCGTAACGAATATTTCATATTCACAATTAGCGAAAGATTATCTACAATTTGACACCAACTTTCAGTCGATTGATCCCATTTTAACAGTTAACCATTTTTTTTTTGGAAATTTTTGAAAATTTTGTACGCATCTTTTATGTTAATTGGAACAGAAATCGTAACGGCAACTTCAGATTTATAACTGGCGAAAGATTATCAACAACTTGACACCAATTTTCAGTCGATGGAATCCATTTTAGGCATTTTTTTGGAAATTTTTTGAAAAATTTTAACTCACTTTTCATGTTTATTTGACGGGGATTTCGGATTCGTAATTAACGGAAAAATATCTTCAATTTGACACCAATTTCAGCCCATGTAAACCATTTTTTTGGAATTGTTTTGAAAATATTGGATACAAAATAACGATAAAAAAATCAACAAAAAAACGCGATAAAAAAGGTGTTAAATAAACAAAACAAAAAACGCGACGGAAAAGCAACAAAAAAACCTTCCAAAAAAAGAGGTGGTAAAAAGGGCGATAAAACATAAACGAAGAAAAAAAGGGGAAAAATGTGACCAAAAAACTCCACGGAACCAAAAAAGTGACAAAAAGGGCAAAAAAGCGACAAAACCCGACAAAATAAAGTCAACCATAAATGTAGAGCTCGAATGTCTAAGAAATCAAGGCCGATGCATAAACCACAGTTACAGAAGTACAACAAATGTTATTTTATAATGCAGCAAAACTGAGATGACGTCATCCAAAGTACGAAAAAACATGCAATAAAAAGTAAAACGTCAAAAAACGAAAAAAAGGGTCTAAAAAAGCAGCAAAAAATACTCCAAATAACTATAAAAAAGGTGAAAAAAAAACGTGTTACGAAAAAAACGAAAGTAGGGAAAAGGGCAATAAAGTATGTAGGTATAAAAAGGTGAAAAATAATGGCACCAAAAAAGATAACAAAAGGTGTTTAAAAAGGGGTTAAAAAAACTGGACAAAAAACGCCAAACAATAAGGAGATAAAATTTCAAGGAAAAAAGCGACAAAAAACGCTACAAAAAATGCGATTAAAAAAAGAGTGGGGCAATAAAAGCCGCGACAGAAAAAGTCATAAAAAAGAGCTTTAAAAAATAAGCGAAAAAAAAGACGAGCCAAGTAAAAAGGGGATAAAAAGAGTAACAAAAAATTACAACAAGAAGCAGCAACAAGGGCATTAAAATTAAAATAAAAGAGCGAAAAGAACTGCAAAAAAACACTCGACAAAAAAAGAGATAAAAAAAATGTTAAAAAATGGTGTGGAACAGAAGGTCAAAAAAAGCGAAAAAATAAAACAAGGCAAAAAAGAATAACAAAAAAGAGTGACGAAAAAAAGAACAAAAGGGGCCAAAAAAGAACTGGTGAAAAAAACAGGGGGAAAAAGCGGCAAAAAAAGGAGAAAAATAATAGCAACAAAAAAATACCAAAAAAGGTGATAAACAGGGCGTTAAAAAAATGACCGAAAAAGTGGATGGCAGGATGAGAAAAAGAGTTTTAATAAAAACAAAATAGCGGCGAAAAAAGCAAAAAAACGCGACAGAACAGTAACAAAAAAAGCGTCTCAAAAAAATTTGATAAAAAAACAACTTAATAAAGAACCGACAAAAAAAGGACAAAGAAAAAAACAATACAAATGAAAAAAATGGTAAAAAAGCAACAACAGGGAGACAAATAATTGCAAAAGAAAAAGGGGGATGAAAAATTACAAAAAATGGTTATTAAAATTGGAGTAAAAAAATGTAAAAAAGCGGAAAAACCAAGAGGAAACAAGGGGTACAAAAACCGATAAAAAACAAACTTTTTAAAATATTTTTCACATGATCTCGTCAAGTTGAATATACACTTTCAAGTTTAAATAAATCGATCGCTAGTTTATGAAAATGTACAATTTTTCCAATTTTTAAACACACTCTTCAACAACTCCTCTCACACATTCCGAACCCTCCAACACTCGTGACCAAGCCGCACCAGAACAAAGCCTTCAAATTATCATTTTTTTTCCTGTCAAAACGCTCTGATAACTCAACCATTACCCAATCACGACTTCCTCTTTACGATCCCCATTACTCGATAAGTGTTAAAGTACTCTTGACTCAGACTGATAGAAAGTCATTCGATGAACGCAATCAACCTCGTCAACACAAATTACCGTTAAGATAAAGCCCGCATTTAAGCCAGCAGGTAACCGCGACCCAACTAGTGGCGAAAAATTCACCGCGCCAAACACAAGAATGCTCCTCTTCTGCATACTGTTACCGTTAGCTGCGAGTGCAACAGCCGACCGAGTCACGTTCAAAAACGTCTCGTTGTCGAGCTTCTACGAACACCTGGGGCAGATAGAGAGCGCGGCGAGCCTCAAGGAGCACCTGCCGAGGCACTTCACCCAGTTCCTGATAGTGTCGGGGGAGATACCGGTGTTGTACGAGGACTCGGTGGCGGACATCCACAACGTGCAAGAACTGTACTTCAGGAGGAACCGGATCGAGGACATAGAACCTGGGGCGTTCAAGAACTTGACGAGTGTGACGAGTCTGATGCTGAGCCATGGAAGCTTGAAGACGATCAAGCAAGGGGTGTTCGATAATCTGGACATAGCGGAGTTGCAAGTGAGTTTCAACCCCATTTCGACCATCACGAAGAGGATGTTCGGGAATTTACCCAAACTGAGGTATCTCAGTTTCAACAACGACGAAATCGAGACGATTGAAGCGACGGCGTTTGATCACCTAGTCAACCTGGAGATTCTCGACTTGTCGAGGAATCTTTTATCGAAGTTGCCCGATGGCGTCTTCAGAGAACTCCCTAAACTACACATGTTGTTTTTGAAGAACAACAAGTTCGTCAATCCACAGAAGCTCGCCTTCGACACACCAACGCTGAACCATTTGGACCTAGCCAACAACGCCATCGAGTCGCTTGTGGAGAACTTCTTCATACGCTTGCCCAACCTCACGCGGGCGATTTTGTCCTTCAACCAACTCAAGTCGATTCCAGATAACGTTTTTCTTAACATACCTCTACACTACTTGGATTTGAATGATAACAAAATTTCAGACATTGATGCTAACGCGTTCGATAACATGAAGGACCTCCACGTTTTGAACCTCGCCAATAATCAAATCAAAGCGTACAATTTGTGGCTTTACAATCCGGCTAATCTGTCGCAACTTATCCTCAGTAATAATCTCATCGAGGAAATTCCGGATGATTCCTTCAGGAATTTCTGCGACGGGAAGAAAACTTCGCTCAAGTTCGACAATAACAGGATTACGAAAATTACCCCGAGGACTTTCGAGTGTTTCACGAAAGTACAGTCGTTGGATTTGTCGGGTAATCAGTTGACTGAATGGGATGGAAGTTTCCTGGAGAATATTCTGGAGATCGAAGTCCTGCGGTTGGGTACTAACCAGATCAAGTGTCCGAAGGGCGACTTCAGGGATGTTTTTCTGGCGAATGTGACGTATCTGAATGGAAATCCCTTGAGTGAGGAGTGTTTGGATGGGATCAAGAAGTGGAATATGTTGAATCCGGCCAAAGTGGCCTGCACTGACTTTGAGACGTGTTAATTTATTTTATTAGCAATAATTAGGTAGCTGTTGAGTCTGATTTTCTGTGTTTGTAACAGCATTCTTAGAATAGTCAAAAACTGTTCTGGTTATGTTTTTCTTATTTCGCCGACGACTCCTATTTTTTTCAATGAAGAAAGTGACAAATTTTTGAGATATTTTAAAAATGCGAATTTTTGTGTATAAAGATGAATTTTTTCAGAATTTTCTAGTTTCTCAAGTTCGCCTGAAATATTGGTTCTAGACCACCAATACACAATATTACGCTTACGATTTTAGCATTTTTCTATTACTGGATTTTAAAACTTTTTCATTTAATCGATTTTTCAGTTCCTCGAGATTAATTTTTCAATTTTTCGACTAGTTTTGACGATTCTATAATTTTTCGATGACAAACTGAAATAATCAAAAAAATACAAAAGTGCAGATTTTTTAGTTTTTTTGATTTTCAATTGTTGGATTTTTCAAATTTTCGAAAAAAACTAAAAAATTATAAAATTGTAAAGATGAAAAATCCAAAAAGATAAACCGAAAAATGACGAAAAACAAATTTAGTAAAATCGAAATATTGAAAATCGAATAACTGAGAAATCGAAAAATTGGAAAATTGAAAAATTTAAAATTTGGAAAATCGAGGAATTAAAAACCAACGACTGAAAATGTTCGGTTTTTGGTTTACTTTATTTTGATAATTTTTCGTTTCGGTTTTTTATTTTTATGTCAGCTTTTGTGTTTTTCAGTGTTCTGATTTTATAATTTTTCTATTTTTCATTGTAAATATTTGATAATATGTAATTGTATTTTTTTTTATTTTTCTCTTTTTCAATTTTACCATTTTAGAATTTTCTCATTTTTCAATTACTGGCTTTTAAAACTTTTTCATTTATTCGATTTTTCACTTCCTCGATATTGATTTTTCAATTTTTCGACTACATTTTTGACGATTCTATAATTTTGGGGTTCCCAATTTTTCGATTCATTGATTTTGTTTCGAGCTTTAAGTTTTTCAATCTTTAAAATCGTTAGTTTTTCGGTGTTTTAATTCTTCTTTTCTTCAGTTCTTGGCTTTTCGATTTCCCACTTTTCATTTTTGCAATTTTTGGTTTTCTCAGTTTTTGATTTTTCAATTATTTCGGATTTTTTAGTTTCTCAATTTTGAATTTTTCGATTTTTCGGATTATCAACTTTTCGAATCAAAAAATGAAAAAACTGCAAAATTTTAAAATTGAAAACTCAAAAATAAAAAACGACAAATTATAAAACTTGAAAGACTGAAGAAATGAAAAATTGAAAAATCAAAAGATTTAAAATTCAAAAACTGAAATAATCAAAAAATTGCGAAAGTGCAGATTTTTTAGTTTTTTGATTTTTAATTGCTGGATTTTCCAATTTGATTTTTAATTGTTGGATTTTCCAAATTTTCGAAAAAAAAAAATGAAAATATTATAAAACTGTAAAAATGAAAAATCCAAAAAAAAACGAAAAAGGATGAAATACAAATTTTGTAAAATCGAAATATTGAAAATCGAATAACTGAGAAATCGAAAAATTGGAAAATCGAAAAATTTTAAATCTGGAAAATCGAGGAATTAAAAAACCAACCATTGAAAATGTTCGGTTTTTGGTTTACTTTATTTTGACAATTTTTCGGTTTTTCAATATTCCGATTTCAAATTGCTTGTTTTTTCAAATTAAATTTTTTCAATTTTTCGTTTCGGTTTTTTGTTTTTATGTCAGCTTTTGTGTTTTTCAATATTCTGATTTTATAAATTTTCTTTTTTCATGTGAATTTTTCAGTTTTCGGATTATTTTTGATTTGCGATTTTTCAACTTTTCATTTCAAATATGTGATAATATGCAATTGTAATTTTTTAATTTTTCTCTTTTTCAATTTCACGATTTTAGAATTTTCTCATGTTTCTTCAATTACTGGATTTTAAAACTTTTTCATTTATTCGATTTTTCAGTTCCTCGACATTAATTTTTCAATTTTTCGACTAGTTTTGACGATTCTATAATTTTTCGATTTTTTAATTATTTCGGATTTTTTAGTTTCTCAATTTTTAATTTTTCAACTCTCCGGATTTTCAACTTTTCGAATCAAAAAATGAAAAAACTGCAAAATTTTAAAATTGAAAACTCAAAAATGAAAAACGACAAATTATACAACTTGAAAGATTGAAGAAATGAAAAACTGAAAAATCGAATGATTAAAAATTGAAAAAATGAAATAATTAAAAAAGTGCAAAAGTGCAGACTTTTTACTTTTTTTGATTTTTAATTGATGGATTTTTCAAATTTTCGAAAAAAAAAATTAAAAAATTATAAAATTGTAAAAATGAAAAATCCAAAAAGAAAAACCGAAAAAGGACGAAAAACAAATTTTGTAAAATCGAAATACTGAAAATCGAATAACTGAGAAATCGAAAAATTGGAAAATTGAAAAATTTGGAAAATCGAGGAATTAAAAAACCAATGACTGAAAATGTTCGATTTTTGGTATACTTTATTTTGACAATTTTTCGTTTCGGTTTTTTATTTTAATGTCAGCTTTTGTGTTTTTCAATGTTCTGATTTTATAATTTTTCTTTTTTCATGCGAAATTTTTCAGTTTTCGGATTATTTTTGATTTGCGATTTTTCTACTTTTCATTTCAAATATGTGATAATATGTAATTGTATTTTTTTTATTTTTCTCTTTTTCAATTTTACCATTTTAGAATTTTCTCATTTTTTAATTACTGGATTTTAAAACTTTTTCATTTATTCGATTTTTCACTTCCTCGATATTGATTTTTCAATTTTTCGACTACACTTTTGACGATTCTATAATTTTTCGATTTTACAATTTTTGGGTTTTCCAATTTTTCGATTCATTGATTTTTTTTCGATCCTTAAGTTTTTCAATCTTTAAAATTTTTAGTTTTTCGGTGTTTCATTCTTCGTTTCTTCAGTTCTTGGCTTTTCGATTTTCCACTTTACAATTTTGCAATTTTTGGTTTTCTCATTTTCTGATTTTTCAATTATTTCGAATTTTTTAGTTTCTCAATTTTTAATTTTTCGATTTTTCGGATTTTCAACTTATCGTGTCAAAAAGTGAAAAAATTGCAGAATTTTAAAATTGAAAACTCAAAAATGAAAAACGACAAATTATAAAACTTGAAAAAAAAATTGAAAAATCGAAAGATTAAAAATTAAGTAACTTAAAAATCGAAAAAACGAAATATTGTAAAATCCAAATATTGAAAATCGAAAAATCGGAAAATTGAAAAATTTAAAATTTGGATAATCGAGGAATTAAAAACCAACGATTGAAAATGTATAATGTAAGTGTAATTTTTTTATTTATGTCTTTTTCAATTTTACGATTTTAGGATTTTCTCATTTTTCAATTTCTGGATTTTAAAACTTTCTCATTTATTGGATTTTTCAATTCCTCGATATTAATTTTACAATTTTGACGATTGTATAATTTTTCGATTTCACAATTTTTGGGTTTTTCAATTTTTCGATTCATTGATTTTTTTCGATCTTTAAGTTTTTCTATCTTTAAAATTTTTAGTTTTTGGTTTCTCAATTCTTCGTTTCTTCAGTTCTTGGGTTTTCGATTTTCCCCTTTTCAATTTTGCAATTTCTGGTTTTCTCAATTTTTCGATTTTTCAATTATTTCGGATTTTTTAGTTCATCAATTATCAATTTTTAATTTTTCGACTTTTTGGATTTTCAACTTTTCGTATCAAAAAAATGAAAAAATTGCAAAATTTTAAAACTGAAAACTAAAAAATGAAAAACGACAAATTACAAAACTTGAAAGACTGAAGAAATGAAAAATTGAAATATCGAAATATTAAAAATTGAAAAACTGAAATAATCAAAAAAGTGCTAAAGTGCAGATTTTTTAGTTTTTTTGTTTTTGAATTGTTGGATTTTTCAAATTTTCGAAAAAAGGGGAAAATTATAAAATTGAAAAATCCAAAAAAAAAAAAACGAAAGAAGATGAAATGCAAGTTTTGAAAAATTTACAAACTGGAAATCAAGAACTCGAAAAATTGAAAAATCGAAAGATCAAAAATTAAGTAACTGAAAAATCGAAAAACTGCAAAATCGAAAAATCGGAAAATTGAAAAATTTAAAATTTGGAAAATCGAGGAATTAAAAACCAATGATTGAAAATGTTCAATTTTTGGTTTGCCTTATTTTGACAATTTTTCGGTTTTTCAATATTTCGATATTCAAATTTTGTTTTTTCAAATTAAATTTTTTCAATTTTTCGCTTCTTCAATTTTTCGTTTCCGTTTTTTTTATTTTTTTGTCAGTTTTTGTGTTTTTTAATGTTTGATTTTATCATTTTTCTTTTTTCATGGGCAATTTTTCATTTTTCGGGTTATTTTTGATTTGTAATTTTTCTACTTTTCATTTTAAATATGTGATAATACGTAATTGTAATTTTTTTATTTTTGTCGTTTTCAATTTAATTTTCTCATTTTTCAATTCCTCGATATTAATTTTACAGTTTTGACGATTCTATAATTTTTCGATTTTACAATTTTTGGGTTTTTCAATTTTTCGATTCATTGATTTTTTTTCGATTTTTAAGTTTTTCAATCTTTAAAATTTTTAGTTTTTCGGTGTTTCAATTCTTCGTTTCTTCAGTTCTTGGCTTTTCGATTTTCCACTTTACAATTTTGCAATTTTTGGTTTTCTCATTTTTTGATTTTTCAATTATGTATTTCGAATTTTTTAGTTTCTCAATTTTTAATTTTTCGATTTTTCGGATTTTCAACTTATCGTTTCAAAAAGTGAAAAAATTGCAAAATTTTAAAATTGAAAACTCAAAAATGAAAAACGACAAATTATAAAACTTGAAAGACTGAAGAAATGAAAAATTGAAAAATCAAAAGATTTAAAATTCAAAAACTGAAATAATCAAAAAAGTGATAAAGTGCAAATTTTTGTAGTTTTATGATTTTTAATTATTGGATTTTTCAAATTTTCGAAAAAAAAAGGGCTAAATTATAAAATTGTAGAATTGAAAATCCAAAAAAAAACGAAGAAGGATGAAATGCAAATTTTGAAAAGTTTAAAAATTGG